CTCTTTCGATTGTCAGAGTACCTGGTGACACACGATATTATTCAAGGATGGAAAAAGAACATAATTAAAGAACATAAAAAAAGAACATAACAACACAATTATTATAGTAGAGCAATCCTTCTATATTAAAATAATTGAAGAGCGAACTCGATACGGTAATTAATTTCTATGGCCTGTATCTTATAAACAAATTCTGGAACAGAGAAACGATGACTTAAACCCCCCCCAATTTCACGTGGACTACAACATATTTCATTTTCAACAAAATCCCTGATAGCAAGTGCAAAAAGTGATCGATTTGGCGTGGAACGACCCAAATCAGTTATTCAATTTCGAGTAGCTATAATCTGGGTTTGATCGCTTAAAATGGCAGTTCTGTGGTTCTAGTTTTCGTCAATACGTCCTTTCATACCCTTCTTTTCAACTATGATCTTTTTTTTCGAAGACCTCATCAATTTTACCACGGTCAGTGACGGCTTCTATCAGGGAACAGTTCAATGACTTTGGCTGAACAGGAGAAAAATGTGTCTAATCATGGTTGAAGAATAACGGACATATGATTCACGCCATTTCGTTGCGAGAATGTAGTACACAAGGGTGCGCGTTGTATCGATTTTCACTTTAAACGTTAACCTGTCACGCTGATCCCTCAATTTTTCTCACTCATTTCTCGAATCTAGAAGGCAGTTATTATTTCACAATTGTGACGTTGATTATAATCAGATTTTAGTATATAATAGAGATCCATATATTCATGAATATTATTTATTTTTAATATCTATGTATCTAAATTAATTATATACTAAGCGAAAATAATGCTCAAGTGTATTTTATGTTTAAATAATGGAAAGTTTGTACTTGTATATACAATAGATTAAGATGGACCTTGGCTATATTTAATGAAAATTATTTTGTGAGATTTTTTTCACGCCGCACCTTAAAAGAGAGTAAGAAAATAATTAATTTCAATACATTCTCATGAAGTTGATCTGACAAGAGGAAGAGGTGGCATATTCATGTTTAAGTTTCAATAAATGTGAAATTTTGTATGAACGGAATGGTATGAAAAAATGATTTTTAATGATGGTTAAACGTTCTTCTGGTGCAAAAATATTTATGATAATATTACTACATTATGTACATTAAATTTACGTATTTTATTGAAAGTTTCTTTAATTCCTTTCTTATATTGTTTGTAAATTAATAATAATCATATTAATTTAAAAAATGGGGGAATAAACGTTCGATATTTTCTACTTAACAAGAGTATAATATTTATTACTATGAAATGGTGAACATTGTAACATAAATAGGCGAAGAAATGAAAATGTGGTTATTGTGACAATTGAAAATGTGTCAGTTTAAACGTTTTAATACACACATCTAAAAAGAATTGCTCGGCCGGCAGACTTGCGCTCTGATTGGTCGGGGTTTTTCGTTAATATTTCGTTAAAAACGTCTCGGATAACATTTTTGCTAAGGAAAAACTTCTTCCAAATCACTTCACGAATGACCCATTTCAGGGCTCTACAACACATTTGTTACACCCTGTATATTTCTGATTAGATTACGTGTGAGTGGTAAAGACCGCTGCCTGATTTGATGTGTTCTGACCGTGATCAGTAGTGTGAATCTGGTTTTAAGGTACACATGGCCGCGAAGCCGGCAAAAACGACTTGAAATAATCGATCGAACGCACCCCGATTGCGCAGTAACAAGATTATCGCTCATGTTTCACAAAGCCTTGCTTGCGTGTGCATGTGCAGTTCGGTGGCACAGCGTCGCGTGGAACTCACGTTTACACGAATAATCGCCAGTCCAGGTACGGGAATAGGGCATTTTAACTATGGGACAAAAGCGGCCCCGATAAAAAGATTTCGCTGGATTTGTCGCGTGACCGGCTGAATAAATGTTTTCGAGCGGATATGTGATTTATTTCGTCGCTTGATCTGCGGCCGGCTTGAAACAAAGGAATTCATTGCGTTTAAACGAACCAGCGGGCAGACCTTCCCCCTTCCCTTTCGGTGCTTCGAATATCGTTTGGTATTTTATTAGCCGCCCGTCGTGGGCACCTTTTACTGTTTTCGTAAAACAAATAACCTGTGACGGCATGTTGTTAATTATCTACAATTCGATTCTTTTGTTCATTCCTGAGTCCTGGAACCGGAATATTCCGTGTTCACAGATTTTTCTGGTTCGATTCCTGTTCAGTACGTAACGTGGAACAGCTAGTCGTTAGTACAAAAAAACAGACAGATTACTGACTTTTGATGATGTAAAATAATGACTAATGTTAAGGATAAATAAGCTAAGACTGAATTTACGATACGGCTATTTTTGAGATTAAGATTGTTTATACGTGATTGGCAATTTATTTCTTACCCTTCTAACTACTATACGCCAGTATAGTAGCTTTTCTCTAACAAGGGAACATCGAGAACGCTGACTCGCGGATTCGAATTAAACTTTGTGGGTTTATACTTTATAGAGTCATTCAACACAAGAACAACTGTATGTTTTATTTGTGTCCAATCGCCCTTCAAGGGTGTGAAAACTATCCTCAAAGTCAAATTGGCACTTGCACTTTCTCGCGTATAACTCTTAAAGTGCAAGAGATACAAAAAAATGTTTCACACAAAAATTTAATGGTACAATAAGCATCATAAAATTGTCTTAACAAAATTTGGAAAAAAGTGTTTTAAAATTTTCTGTTTAAGATAAAAACCTTTCTTCAAAATTTTATTAACGCAAGTTTATAGCGCTTATTGCGTCATACAAATTTTTGTATTGAGAGGAAGTCAAACTATTGAAATGTGAAAATAATCACTTCTTCTTGACTCTTAACCAGTTCTTTTAAAGAACGAATGAACTTGCGTTGGTGGTCAATCAGTTCACTATTTTTGGCATATTCCAAGGAAAAATTCTTGACTTTAAAAATAATAACAGTAAAACTGAAGCCAAGTTGATATGTATTAGCAGCGAGTACTGACAACAGACTGTAACTTTTAGGAAGAAATACAGAATGCGGGCTATGGACCGCTTAGTTGCTTTATGACCCACTATAAATCTTGTCAACTGTTCCAAAATTCCTTTGAATTGACCGACAAAGGACGATGAACAATAAATTGAATATTCTTTCAAGTTTTTGCAGTAATCTGTAGTAAAAAGGTGCCTAATACTTTTGGCCACTATAGTACCTATATACCCTTATAATTAAACTATAAAATTTACATTTTATGTCAAGTTGTTTTCTTACGAATTTTAGTAACAATAAAATACTTAATTAATGATCACAAGTTTCATTTCATTATCCTTAAAAGACAGTAAATAAAAACTTAATACTAAAGTAGGGTATCCTGACACCCCATGCCACCATTTATGCGATTTTCTTTTTAGAATAACGAATAGTTCGGCAGATAATTGCATCTAAAGGTTCACCCTGTATGTACACCCACGAGCAAACTCGGCTTCCACGAGGTGAAAAAGTGACGTAGAAGAAAAGTCCCCTACCACTTACTAAATTTATAACAAGTTCGGAAATAAATGTTAAACCAAATATTAATTTGGCATAAATTTCAATAACTCCCAAAACTAAATGGTAGGAGGCCC